AGTCGAAAAAGGGAGCGCGATATTGGGGGGCAAATTCAAGTCCCGGATGCTAAGCCAAGCGCTGATTGGCTAGATCAATGCCTCCTTAGCAACCACGTTAGCAACAATTTTAAAAAAATTATATTCGTTTTTCAGGTCGCTTTGCCGGTTTTTTAAGGAAAAACAGTGCCTTTTGAAACTGGTTCTACTAATTTAGACATCCTGAAACGATATTTTAGGCAAAAAAACTTTTAGAAATAAAAAAAACTCGTTAAAAACGACTTATTTTGGCCTCGGACATCGTGAATGAGTGAACATCCAACTTAATACTCCATCCCGGCGCAAAGGTGCACAATTTTTTAGCCAAAACATATAGCAATTACATATACTGCCCTTATAGAAACAGCGGATCGAAACTGTCAAAAATGCGCACAATTTTTTCTGCAGAGGATATAGCAGTGCTGTCGCCCATATAGACACGACAATCCCAAACGCACGCACAGGGGAGTTTATACTCACCATTATAGCAAAAAATCAATCCACGTCATCTTCGAGACATCTAATTGTGACACAATTTGTGCCCCCTGCCTACGATAACCCAAGCAAGACTTCTCCAGAAACATTATGTGTTGATGCATAAAATGTATCTACTGACTCTCGTGTCTGGAAAAATCTTATTTGCCTGTCCTGCCTGTCTCAGCTTAGGAATTAATAAGGTTGCATCTATACACACAAATTACTTAGGAATTTGCATACAATTTTTGGTTCAGAAAAATTTTTGGTGTTTGAGTGCAGATGCACCTATTTATGTTATCTCAGTTTTGTGACCACCCAATTAAAGTACTCAAACCTCTTTGAACCTCTGGCAAACGATGTTCGATTTTACGATGTTCGACTGAACCAAAGCGATCTTGACCAAACAGCAACTTTCTTTTGTCATATAGTCTACAAAAATTTCATATAAGCCTTAGTGCGCACGTAACAAATAAATATATATGCACACACTTAACAAATAAATATATATCACACGTGGCAAAAAAATGAAGGTTTGATCGAGCCAACAGTAATACGAGATCTGATGATTCATGATTTCATCGATAGGGCCTGATTTAAATGCTTGACGGGAATTATTTCCAAGCGCGACTCATGCATACTGTATTTTTAATCAAACATGCCTTATATCAAACACTACACTCTACAAATTAATCAATAAGTGCTCATACCTTTATATGCACGTGTTAAAACACCTCGACGTGACACCGCAGAAATTGGTGTTTAAGACGTTTCAACCCGAATATCTAATCGCTGGTTCACAATTGTGCATTTCTGTATCGCCCTATCAAAGAGAAACCTTTTGAATATCTTAAAAAAGTTCAATTTTTCTTCTGAATACGCATTCTGCAATCTTTTGACAGCTCATCATACACATCTGACCGCTGTGAAATGGCCATTTTGAGGCTTAAAGTATACACAAGGTTATTAATTCAGACGATTCGTTTTTACCGTGAGCAAGCTTCAAATCTTTTGTGCAAGACATATTTTCTTGAATATTTATAAATCTTTTTCCTCACCAAGTTTGAAGTCTAAGTATCGAGAGTTGCGGCTAAGCCTATACCAATTTCCGCGGTGTCCCTCGACGTATCCATAGATATGAATATCCAGCAAATATTTGGAATAAGGCTTCGCGAAATTATTGGTAAAGATCTTTACCCGCGTGCTTATGAACTTGATTGGCGCCATTTCATATTTGTTCACTTCGCCGCTCTATAGCTGGCAACAGCCTTCAAAGTGCAAATGTGCAATGACCATACATGCCAAATGCATGATTACAATTTAATATCCGGAATGCAATTTCCTTATAAAGAGAACCCAAATCAAAATTAGTGAATATTTTCCTATTATCCAAGCAGTTGTTAAATATGAATTCTAATGTTCATTTTCTGTGAGGTCAAACTTAAATGTTTGTAAGACCTATGATAATATAACGAATTAGGTTTCTTTTAGATATAAATAATTATCGCCAATATTGTATTAGGCTTACGCTGCAGCATGTCAGCTGCCAATTTTACCAATTGGGCTTGTGCCAGTGTGCGCAAGGACTGCACAAACTTGGTAAAAACATAGCGCTAAAACTTTACCTCCTAAAACACGCAATTTGTAGACCGTGTCTTTCATTGCTTATGCTATAGTTTCATATCCAGAAAGCTTATATATATAGTTAAATGGCATAATATCAATTATAATTTCTGGTTTGTTATATTTGTCACATGATCCTGATTATTTTGAACAGATAGTATGGCTTGTATTTTGTGCCTATCAAAGTTTAGCTACGCTAAATTTCAGTGAGCAATATTATGATGTTCATTGGGCGACTTCCTTGTGGTTCTATTTTTTTCATTACTTGCATACAATCTCTATCATTTGTACAATTTGAGCTTTTCCGCGTTCCACGTTTCCGATTCGAGGAGCTAGTCGAGGGAAATCAAATTATAACCAAACATAAGATGCCTGATTATAAATGTGCTTCAGTGCTTGGTGCATCTGACTTTGCCAAAAGTTGCGAAGTGTTTTATTCGGATCGCTCTGGGCCGGTGAACGTCGGCGTCCACGATCAAGCGCTTCAAAAGATCTATGTCTATTGTTGATACAATTATTGCGATGTAGTTTAATAGTTATTTACATTTATTTCATTGTTTACACAACTATATAAGGGTTTTAATCATTGAATACCATAGATATGCAGTTATTAAGTTTTGCTCCTATTATCAGATTGCTTCGTATCTATCCCAATGACTTTTTAAACGACTTCCAACAACCACACAACAACTATGCAATTCTACGTAATGCTGTTTTAATGTATATATGGCTAGAGACGTTGCATGTTTGTGCGCGCATTGAACTTTGGCTTTATGGAAACAACAAAAGTATTAAAGCATAGATTCTAACCATTCCATTGCCGCAGCATTCAAAAAACAATAAATTTTTGAAAGAAAGCTTTTTCAGTTTATGACTTGAAATTTGACCTTAATGACATAATTGCATGCACTAAACGCTAACAGAAATCTTGAAGCGCACGAAATAGCATTCGATTCGGCTAAAATGATATAACCCCTTTACAAGCCTTCTGTTAAAGAACTGAATACGTTTCCAGGAATATTATGTGTTACACATTCGTCGCTTCTTCTATAAAGTTTAGTTGTAACATTGCAAATGTTTAATCTAATGTTCTACCCAATCCAATGCGATTGAACAAAATTCCGGCAAACGTTCCAACGAACGGTAAATCAAAACGGTTGAACGCTTTTGGAACCATTTTCGAACTTTTTTTCTCGAGGCGTTCAAACGGGCAATTTCGAACAATGAACGATCTCGAAAATCGTTTCAACGAACGCAAGAACGCTTGAAGTGTTTGAACGGGAAACGAATGAATAATGAACGATATTTTTCAAGGAACCAAATAGCGTTAACGTATGTTTTCCCGTGGAAGGCCACACATAAACAACAAAGTAAATTGCTTCGCACGAGTGGCAAATCACAACTGTATGACTGTTACTGGTCTGCCGTCTGCTTGTTTCTACTACCTATAATTAACTTCGTTGACTAGGTACATATGACATTGATCCATGCAGTATTTATGTGTAGCTGTCACCGGAGCGTAATTAGCCCTAAAGCTGTTGGACGGCATGTATAATAACATATGTCTGCAGTCAGTGCAGTGGCATGACTGTGGCCATGTTCTTCAGGTGTATTTTGCTATTGTTTTTACAATTTTACTCCATTTTATGATTTTAATATTATCCATGCTGTACTGGGATTACGAAGCAATAAAGAGTAGTGTACGTGCGGATAGCAATCGAAGCTCTGGCTCCCTCATAGCTGAACATAAACAACGTATAATGTTACACCCGCTACTTGCGTTTACCTGTGAATCATTTTCTCCCTCCCGGTATATCAAACATGCCCATGCAACGTGAAATTGGGTATATAAATTCGTCAAACCGTTTATACGGATGAATAGGCCCATCAAAAAAAACGGTTCATTTTTCTGTGCGTTTAAACGGTTATTCGTATCCGTGCAAACGCTTTCTCCAAAACGTAAAAACGCTTTCTTGAAAGCGTTAAATTTTTTCATCGAACCGTTTTAACGTTTTAACGAAGCGTGAAAACGCTTTACGGCATCCGTTTACTAACCGTTTGTAATCCGTTTTTTTGCCCATTTAAACGGAAGAGCGTTAATGTTTGTTTTCCCGTGGAGGGTCACAGTCTGTCGAAAGAAGTGTTGTTTGTTTTTGAATAAATACAAGCGCCTGTTTAATTTTTTATTTTTACATTAAATAACAGTCCAGCTTACCGATAGCTGAGTCTTTTTGTCTTGCCGCTTGTCTTGAGTGTCGTGTCTCCGGCAACAAGTATGGCGCAATGACAATAATGATACAAATATTTTGCTGACTTGCATCAGACAAAGGGAAGCATTCATTCATTCATTGTATAAAGCAATGCTTTGTCAACTCAAAATGGTTACATCTTTTCTGTATGTTGTCTTGGTTCTTGGTATTTCGTTTTGGGTAACAGCTGACGGTCACGAAGCGCGCACATTTACCTGTCAAAACCACACTTACAATATTACAACGACTTCCTCAAGTGAAACAGACAAGGAATGTATTTTGATCGTCAACGAAACAGATTTGTGGTTTCTACAGGAACTAGGTCGAAATAAACTTATTCATGTTGTACAACTTAGGCCCTGTCTACACTAGTGCGTTTTCGTTTGAAAACGCATACATTTCGATGCGTTTAGGCCTTCCGTTCACACTAATGCGCTCGAATACGCTCAGCGTATTCACCGAAACGCATCGATTTGAATCACGCTGTTGAAAGTGAATACAAATGAAAACGCATACATATCGTATTAGTGTGAACACTTGAATACGATACTTTTGAAAACGATTACGTCACACGCATCGATTGCCTCTCATTTCCAGGTCTTAAGTCAGTTATCCGCGGCATAATTCCAACCAAACATGGCGGACGAGCACGATATGGAGTTTCTTATGCTTCTAGCAAACATAATTGTTTGTTTACAGTTAAATGTCGCGTTGTATAACGCCATGATGGCTTCACACCGAAGACAAATAGCTGTCTTACGAACACACATTTTATCTGGGCCTCCTCCAGGTCCAATTCGAGCAAAAAATCGGTCTTGCAGACCAACTAGAAGATTTTGGATTCGACCTGGTCGAACAAGCGCGTGGTGGGAAAATTTTGTGAACGAAGTTATGTTGCCGGAAGAATGGAGGGAGAATTTCAGGATGTCTCGCAGATCCCTATTGAAACTAAGCGAAGAACTACGGCCATATATTGAGGGAATGACGACTCGAATGAGGCAACCTGTTGACGTCGTGGCGTGCACTTTGTACTACCTTAGCGACGAAGGTCGGCTTAGAAAAACTGCGAACGCTTTTGGTCTTTCGAAACAAACAGTGTCAAAAATTATAAAGGAAGTGTGTACTGCAATCACCAAGTATTTAGGCCCGGTTTACATAAAACTTCCCTTAACAGAAGCTGAAGTAATGGAATTGACCTCACAATTTGAAAAAGCCCATGTTATTCCACAGTGCCTTGGAGCAATTGATGGGACCCACATTGAAATCAAACAACCAACAGCAAATTCTACAGAGTACATTAACCGAAAGCAGCGGTACAGTCTGAATGTTCAAGCTGCTTGTGACTATCGCTATAGATTTATTGATGTCAATGTGAAATGGCCTGGTAGTGTACATGATGCTAGAGTATTTGCAAATTCTTCAATTAATTAGTATGTGAAGATTGGAAAGGTTCCCGCAGTGCCCAAAGTGATTGTAGAAGGAGAACAACCTGTTCCTGTTTTCCTTCTTGGTGATCACGCCTACCCTTTAATGCCATATCTGATGAAGGAGTATTCTGGTGGTGGTTCTACAGCCGAAGAGCAGTATTTTGGTCTATCTCTCTGCAGAGCGCGGATGGTGATCGAGTGTTCCTTTGGTCGGTTAAAGGGGCGTTTTGGCGCTTTACGAAGACCCATGGACTTAAATTTAGCAGAGGTTCCTTATGTCATCTATGCTTGTTTTGTATTGCATAATTATTGTGAGTGCAATGAAGAAACTGTGTCAGATGACAAGGTTGCATCTGCAGTTGCTCATGATAAAGATGCCCAGCCTACCCCGACACCAAGTTACAGACACGAGTCCAATGAAACCGAAGGAAAACGTGTGAGAAGAGTTCTGACCAAGTACCTGGATCCATAACTCCAATAAGAAGAAAACTCTTCGGTACCAACCCCAAATATAAATAATGAACACTTCCTTACTACAGGTTAACTAATCAGTGTAATAAGTATCAATATATGTAAACATTTTGTAGCGAACTACATGACGTAGCACATAATGTTTATATTTATGTTCGTGGGCGCTAGGCCTACGTTTTGGATACGTTTTGGGGGTGTTCTTAAAGTTCGGACAAGTCTTGTGTAGTGTAAAAGAAATATACTTATAATTTACAGTTTTGTGTTATTCGCGTACCGTCACAATTGGGGACTCGCCCGGGAAATGAACTTGATTACAGGGACAACCAAGAAAATTCGTTATATATCGTTCAATAGAAGTTTTTAATCGGATGCCAGATACGAGGTCAACGACATCCAAAATGGCGAAGGAATGGGAAACACTTACGGAAGAAATTATGAAACTAAAGGAGCAAATCGAACAGTCGAAGGAAAAGGAATTAATGGAAGAAGTAGCTCGGCTGAGAGAACACATTGAAAACACGAAAGAACATGAACTACGCGCCGAAATCGAGAGTTTGAGAGAAAGAATTGAGATGTCAAAAGAGGGCGAATTGTTAGCAGAAGTTGCGTCGTTGAAAGAACAATTAGCAGGATTAAAAGAACAAGAAATAGCTGTAGAAATTGAAAAGTTTAAAAACTCGTGCCGGACAGTCAGACGATGTTGAAATACAGAGGGAAATCAGTGAACTAAAGCAAATGTTAGAGTGCTCGAAAGCCGACAACACGTGATCGTGACTCCGAAAGAGAATATGAAGATTTCGACTGCTCGCCTCACCCTCCCAACGCTCCCCCCTTTTTCTGGAGAGAGCAACGAGAATATTATTGAGTGGTTACAACGATTCGAAACTACTATGTCGATTTCGAAGATCGAGCCTGGGGATAAAATTGACATGCTAAAAGTCTACCTTACCGGGTATGCCCGCATTGTGTTGGAACGTTATATGGCAACTGATGAGATAAAGGAACTTACAAGTACGAAATGAATATGTTGAAATTTTCAAAGGTAAGAGATCGCTTAAAGAATGAATTTCAAAGATATGATCCAGTGAGATATTATATGCAGCAATTAAGATCGTTACGGCAAGAAGACGGAGAGAATGTAAAAGAATACTCTCGCCGCATGCAGTCGGTCATTGTCAATCTTGAGAGGTATGGTTACACGGTAAGTCAAATGGACGAACTCACAACTTTTGAACAAGGCCTCAAAGCTGATAATCAGCGTCATTTGCGCAGCTTAGTAAGGCAAATATCTACCTTGAAAGAAGCAGTTGCAGCGGCTGAAGCGTTTGAAGATGCAGAAAAACAATTCTTTGAAAAAACATCCCCACCCCAAAACACTACCCAAACCATGGGTGCTACTAATTCATCAACCTCGTAAAAAACAAACGTTTTCAGTCTGATTTTCAGAGAATGAGTTAAAAACGCGATCTTCTTTCCAGCGCATTTTTCCAGCTGGAAAACCCAAAGCATGTTTCCCCCTTCAGCGGGTCCGGGGGAAATACCTTCCGATGCCATTCATGCAATGGATCTGGTCATTTAGTTCGAGAATGTCCATCCCCATATACAAGCCCACAATCCACAACACAAAGTTTTGTTACGAATGCAAAGGGTTTGGTCATTATGCTCGAAATTGCCCGTCCGTCAAAAGCGCTTCAACTTGCCCTCAACTTTTCCCACCAATCATCAGCAAACATTCGTCAAGCTCAGTCAGTGCCATCCAGAATACTCGAAATTTTTTTACTCAGAGCCCACCAGCACCCTACGTTAATCAGATCCCTAGTAATCTATTACCTATGCACCCCCTTGCCTCACCCAGCCCACCCAAGGACTCCAACCACCTGTCATTTGCTATAAACGGGAAATTGGATTTAACTGCTATTAATGTTGCTATTGCTGGAGTGACCAATATGATACTTGACTCTGGGTCATCTGTCTCCCTCATTGACTATGAATTTTACCTTTCCCTCAAAACCGTAACGTGATCCTAGAGGAAACACCCCACCCTACTATCACCCGTCGTACAGCAAACGGAGGAGCCATCGAAGTCACTAATGAAGTGCTTGTACCCATGATCTTAGCACCCAATTGTAACAAATATTCGCTTTCAAGTTGCCAAGAAACTTTCCACGCGCCTACTAGTTGGTGTAGGAACCATGACTCGCATGGGAGCAGTTCTCAACTTTTCACGCCAAACTGTCTTTTTTGAAACTCTCAGTATAGAACTACCTTGGTGTAAACCCACTCCTCAATCTGTTGATTCCATCTACTGTTTGCGAATTACAAAAGAGCTTTCCATGCCCCCTAGATCAGCCGCTTTTATTGATGTTGAACATGACCTCCCACCCGGAGCATTTAATTCACACACCGAAGCATATGTAACAAAGTCAACTTCCAGTGACCTTCCCAAAGATTTCCACCTTACCCCAGGCATAGCAAAAATTGATGATTTGCACAACCATTCTGCTCCTGTCATAATTGTAAACACCTCCGACAAAACCCTTCAACTATCTCCTAATACTACTGTCGCACAACTCGAAATCCTGAATGGTGAGAATGCCAGCGTTGTAGCTTTTCATGCTATAACGCACAAAACCCGATGAAGATCACACAACCTTGTGCTTAGATCAGTGTGAAGACTCATCGGACTCCGTCTATTTCAACGATACACACGCAGTCGAAAATATGGCAGTTCAACATGAAAAAACACCTGCTTCTGCAAAGACTGTAAACCCCCCATCTAACCTGAAACAACTTTTGCTCGAGCTCGAAATTGATACCAATCCCAACCTTACCAACCCTCAAAAAGTTGAGCTAAAAAATCTTGTCAGTGAATATGCTGACATTTTCCAACCACCAACCCAAGACCTTACGCAAACTGATTGCGTGCACCATCACATTGACACAGGAAATGCTCAGCCCAGCAATTCACCTCCGTACCGAGTCAGCCCAAAGGAGAGACAACTTATCAGTGAACAAATCGACAGCATGTTGTGTGATAATATCATCCGTCCTTCACAGAGTCCATGGGCTTCGCCAGTTATCCTCGTTGCAAAAAAAGACGGAACTAAACGTTTCTGCGTGGACTACCGGCGCCTCAATAACGTAACCAAACGCGACGTTTACCCTCTCCCACGTATTGACGACGCCCTTGACGCTTTAGGTGGTGCAAGTTCCTGTCTGTCCTCGACTTGCGATCTGGCTACTGGCAAATACCAATGGCCCAAGAAGACCGCGAAAAAACCGCCTTTATCACACACGAGGGATTGTATGAATTTAATGTGATGCCCTTCGGCCTTTCAAACGCACCTGCAACGTTTCAGCGGTTCATCGATGCGGTTTTCGCGGGATTGAAGTGGCGAATCTGCCTGCCGTACCTTGACGACAACATCATCCACTCACCGTTCTGGCACCGCCATCTTACCGACCTACGCCTGGTGTTTGATCGACTACGAAAGGCCAGACTAACTCTCCAGCCACAGAAGTGTAAGCTTGCATGCCAGACGGTCGTTTTTGTGGGCCACGTTGTCACTGCTCAAGGGGATATTAAACCCGATCCAGCTAAGGTTAAAGCTGTTCTTGAATTCCCCATTCCTACTTCACTGAAAGCACTCCGTTCATTCCTCGGATTAACCTCGTACTATCGACGATTTATTCAGGGATATGCAAAAATCTCATATCCTCTCCGTCAGGCTTTACAGAAGGAACACAAGTTTGAATGGACGAAAACGATGAACCACAGCTTTGACGAGCTCAAACACCGGATAACTAGCGACCCTGTGGTAGTTTGTCCTAACTTCGACTTACCTTTCTTCCTGCAAACTGACGCATCGCTACAAGGACTTGGAGCAGTGTTAGCCCAGAAGGACAACAACGGCGTGGAACACGTTATTGCCTATCTCAGTCGCTCTCTTTCACCTGCAGAACAGAAATGGCACATTCGGGAACTAGAGGCGCTGGCTATTGTCTGGGCCTGCGAACAGTTACGCCCATATTTGTACGGCCGAAAGTTTACAATCCAAACGGACCACGATAGTCTACGGTGGTTCTTAAATGTGAAACATACCAGCGGTCGTTTGGCACGATGGGCTTTGAAATTGGGCGAGTACGACCTCACAATCGAGCACCGCCGAGGAAAACTGAACGACAACGCCGACGCTTTGTCACGCTCGCCAGCTGGTGCAACCAACACTCCCACATCTGCTACAGACGTTGTTCCGCCTAATACTGAACCACAAACCGAGCCCCTCCTTCAAGCAACTACCCAGCCATTATGCATGAATATACCAACGACTTTCCCTTCACCGCAGATTATAGGCGAAGCCCAGCTCACGGACTATAAGTTACAGCCACTTATTCGGTACCTAAGCGGCGAAGCACTCCCCACCTCAAATCCAGCACGCGCCGCCGTTCAGCGCATGGCCCGCCATTATACTATCGAAGATGGCTTACTTTATCACCACGACGACATAGGTGAAAGCCAACCAATTCGGCAACTTGTTATCCCTAGTTCCTTAAAAAAGAGGATTCTCTACGCATTTCATAATTCACCGCTAGCCGCCCATCTCGGACGTACTAAAACTTATGATCGTATTCGACAGCGTTTCTTTTGGGAAGGCATGTATGCTGACGTTAAGAAATGGATAAAAACATGCCTCGATTGCCGCAAAGCTAAAACGACTTTACAGCGTCACTCTGGCTACCTCCACCCTCAACTTTACGAGCAACCATTCGACACCGTAGGCATTGACCTTCTAGGTCCGTTCCCTTTAAGCAAACGCGGTAATCTTTATGTTCTAACGGTCATCGATGGCTTTACCCACTGGCCCGAATTCATTGCAATTCCAGACGCCACAGCAAAAACTATTGCCCGCGTTTTTTTTGAACAAATCATCTGTCGTCATGGCTGCCCGAAACGATTGTTGTCCGACAGAGGACCGCAATTCCTCTCCAGCCTGATCAAGG